TATCTATAGTTGAAAAAAAGAATTGGGACTTTTGAGCGAATATTATTTTTTTTTAGAGCGCCGGCAATATGTGCTATTTTTCCAGTTTCGGCAGGCACGAAACTTGTGTCGAGCGGACCGAACTTCAATCAATCCTAGAAAACTTCAATTGGAATTTTTAATGAAATAAAACTCATTTTAGTGATTGACTAGGTAAGGGCTTTGAAATCTCAGCTTATGAGAAAAATCGAACTTTCGAAGTAAAATCAGTGGTCGGGTCTTACAGAGACAGCCTCTTAAAAGTTTTAAATGACTTACATATCTTGATACGAAACCCATTTGCATTTGCCTCAATATCGCTCTACAAACTTTATTTCTAAGGATCTTTTATATTTTCTGTACAAAAAAAACATTCAGGTAAAACATTGAGGCAGAACAGTGAGGCAGATATTAACGTAGATTATAAGAACATACTAAGAACACACCCCATGCTGAGAATAACTAGAAAAAGATATTTCATCAACTTTTCGAAAGAACAGTATGCACTCTGGTAGACGCAAAACTTGAATCTAAACAGATTAATAATGGTAATAGGACTGAGTGGAGTCCAATTCGGTCTGTAATCATACGAGTGATTAACAAAATCGGACGACTGCGAAGCGGGAGCCCGATTTGTTAATCACGAGTATGATTACAGACTGAATTGGACGACACGATGTGCTGTTACCAATTAATCAAATTTTCAAAACGGCGCGTGTTGCGAAAAGTATTTGAAGGATAACAAACACAATAGCCCTCATTGGGCGTGAAAATATGTTCTGATACTTGTCCTCGGACAATATCTGTTCCTCGAAGCTCACAGTTTTCCTTGAGCTATGCTCTTGGAAAAACTGTTCACTTCTCAGAACAGATAATATCTGCGGGCAAATATCCGAGCATATTGTGGTGCCAAATGGAGGCTGAGCTTGTCTAATCAGAGGAACGAGGTAAGCATGTATTGACTTACTTTCTTATTTCTTCTGCTCTCTCCGCTTGACCAGTTTGCATATAGGCTATGCAAGCAGCGCCTTTAGCTCGGTTGGTGGGTCTACAAGAAGCACAGTAATGAGACACTTATAATTGTTATAATTCATATGAGAGGTTACAATTGTTCTGTCTGCACATACTCCTGTGCAATCAGTTATGTGTGGTAAATTGCACGATTGTAACCTCCCAAATGAATCATCACATGGTCTGAATTGAGTGGCGACAAGGATGCAAACACGTCAGCCGACCAAACCTTTAAAGGCCTTTCACTGTAAGGTATATCAAAGAGCTGCTTTGAATGCTGTTCCTTGGAGTCTTGATTCAAACACATTTGCTTCTGAATAATTACATTTGTCAATGTATAACATGTTTCAGGAGCACGGGGCTGAGGTAGCTATTGAGCCAAAACTTCCAGCACGAAAAACTCCTGCTCTAATATCCCTGCAGTTTCAACAGAACAACCATAAAAGGGATGTACTGTCAAATTTTACAGGTCACAGTTTACAAGAACAAACTGCTCTGTTCATCAAGCCATAATTATGAGATGTTCTCATGTTGCTCTCACAGCTCCTCTCTTTGTTATGCTAAGAGTATAAATGAGTATTTGGGAACTCTACGGGCAACCAGACACAATTCTTGGGGTAATGAACAATAGGCGTGCATGCAATCAGGGAAAAAAAGCTACACCTCAAAACTTCATGCCACAGAAAAGCTCAGTATTGGAACTAACGAGTCATCTGAATTGAACAGGACATACTTTCACACCATAATAGACCTTTCCCGCATTCCACTTCAGTACATATGAACAACAGCACCAGAGGGAGGTTGGGGTGGACATTTTCATACATTTGGTCTATTTTTGTGCACCCTGACCTCGACTCGGTGCCAGTGTTTGTTGGAATGCCGGGAAGATCTATTAACTGACAAAATGAAGAATAGGTACTGAATGCACCCAGGCCTCCACTGTGACCAGCCGGCCTCCATCCAGTGAACTGCTGCCATAGCTGCCAGCCCTCACAACGCAGCCACGAACACCCAGGCATCCATCCATCCATCGCCCAACAGTGGATGGCGCAAGATGCACAGCGAGAGAAAAATAACGTCCATGAACCAAGGCCTTCTCAGTTTAACACTGGACACATTAGTTATTATGCGATAAACTGCTGTAACTTACTGGAATCCTTTTTTCCACAGCAAATTGAACAGCTGAATAATTCGTCTCATGTTCTATAATAAGTAAAATTAAACAAGTGAGACAATCTCAGACAGTGTAGAGTGTAATGTACAGCACTGACATACAGTACACTAACATACCCCCCAGCCACTCCCAGTTTGTATTGACTTTGGAAGTTAGCTTGGGTTTACCTAGTCAAAATATATGAACGGGCAGAAGAGATCTTAGCAACGTGTATGTGCATTTGAAATTATTTTCATTGGTCACGAGAGCTTTCAATTTGACTGTGACGATGCATTGTGGCTGAGTAGTTAGGTTCAGGTCATGCACTGACCACTACACTGAGTTGTTTCTTGGTATCCTAAATAGATAGATTTTGAAGTTATGTGCAATACTATATAATGTATCTGTTACTGTGCTGTGAGTGTTCCAGCTACTTTTGTCTCGGATTGTAGCTATCAGACCGAAAAAACCAAGGTACACACACAAATTATCACTAGCCTGCGTAGCAAGAGTTCCCCTACAAACAAAGAGCTTTTTCGCATTCTTGCCACACAAGAAAACCCATTACCTTGTGTAACCCAAAATTTTCGTACTGCCAGAATGTGACGAAAACTCTTCTATCGCAGAGAATGCTTGTAGACGCAGGCTTATATTTCACAATCTCATACAAAACAATAACCACAGAATAAATTGATCATAATGAGCTGTACCCGGTCTCTTGGCTCAGCCATATTGATTCCTCCCTCTGGACATAGGGCATATGCTGTAATCAGATGGCTGATGTCTGCTTCATTTGGCTCTATTAGGTCCTAAAAATCAAGTCCATGTTATCACGTTATTGAAAATAATGCTTGGATGAATCTTCAAGAGCATAATCGTAGAATAACAGTGACAATGCATCAAGGCCAAGGCTTCAGCCACCAGTAGTCAAAGCAGTGAAAGAAGATACAGGCAAAAAAGAAAAAAAAAAAAACAGATGAGGAAAGGTTGAAAATGTGCAAGAGATCACTTAAAAGTGGTGAAAACACCACTGATGCCTTCGAAATTTCTTCACATTTTTTCTTCCCTGCTACCCATTAAGAAATTCCACTGTTTCGTAAACGTTTTCCAAAGGCTTAATTGTTTTGACATATCGTTTTGTTACACAGTGACAACACAATAAGTCAAATTATTCACCCATTTTGATTAGTTCGTACTTATGAGCTATTGAAGGACACATGCATAGATGATGTCGTTAACCTTCTTGTTTGTTTCTTTATTATATAAAACAAGTAGATTCCATGTTTTTTTGTGCATCTGTTCAGTAATAGATCACAGAGGACGTCAAAATGTGGTACATCACTGACACACTCCCCTTAACGCCTCGTGTGCGACTTTTTTTCTTCTCACTACATTTTGACGTTTTCTGTGATCTATTACTGAACAGACACACAGCAACATCGCGCTTGTATTTTCCACGCAAATGAAACCTTATCTACTTAATCAAAACAACAAACGAAGAAATTTTGTCTTAAACAAATGGTTAAACAAATTTACAAGTTACATGTTATAATCAATTTCTCCTTCCTTGTTTTATTTTATTCATCTGCTGCCAATATAGAACTTAAATTGTACGGGGAGCTAACAAGAAAACCAACTGGTTAATTACGTTCTCCAGCTCGAACTTTAATTTCAATGTAGATAGAATCAGATTTATGTACTTTTTCAAGACGTTAAATTATCTACTAGACAGTAATAATTATATGAATGAACTCAATAAAGAATTACCGGTATTATGGAAGAAATCTAACAGTGCCTCCCAGGGGTTCTGGGAGCAAGGAACACCATCATTTTATTTCATAAGAACAAGAGATCTTTTTGGATTAATTTGAGGCAACCAGGATATCTCTACTATTAATGAACTTTGGAAAAACGTTTAGGAAACAGTGAAATTTCTTCATGGGTAGCGGGGAAGAAAAAAAAGAAGAAATTTCTAAGGCATCAGTAGTGTTTTCACCACTTTTAAATGATCTCAGTCTTTCCTAATCCGTTTGCTTCCTGTACATCATACAATATTTCATGCACAAAAATGATTGTCTGCAAAAGTGCACTATTCCTCGAGGAAACATATTGCAAAAACTGATAATTCCATGTATAGCACAATGTACCTTATACTTGTCAAAACAAAATTGTGCAGCTTCAGCTTTTCCATCAAGGGCCATCATCTATGAAACATTAACAAACAACATAGTTAAAATCTCTTCAGACCTGTAGATTAAAATTGTGTCAATCCCTCTT